GTATGAGTCTGTTGTATGTTACTTATTCTGGATCTGCAGCATGAGAACCATCATGGTTTTACCCATACCATACCATAGCCTTACTTCCCGTGGATAAGTACTTTTCAACCAGACATTGACAAAAAATTTTCACTTCTCAGTATAACTGCACTCACCCAGAGCTCTCAAAGCTGGGGATTCCCTCTATGGGCACTTCACCACGGCTGGCCTGCACCACGTACATGAGACAGTCTCCAGTCTGTATTCCTTTATCCACCAACCCAAGCACCGGGTGGATTTACTAGAACTCAGATATCGGACTTCACCCGGCTAACATCAGTAATTAATGACACTGCTTTCTTTGAATGTGTCCAGTATGCTCAAGTATCCCTGCTACACAACCTTGAAAGACCATGCTCCGGGTAATCTTCACCAGCCTCTTTTTTTTGTGTGTGTTATATCCAGTAGATGAGAAACATGATGTATCTGGGGACTCACCTTAGGTCCCTATGCTCCATACCCACTGCTGCTGCTCCCATCCCCTTCTGACCTGAGTCTGCCACTCCTCAGATTCTCAGGCAGTATCCGGGGCAGCATCGGGTCCTTCCATGCCTCTCTGGGTCCTCGCTTCATTTCTCTCCTTCCACCGTCACTTCCCTGAACCAGCTCCAGGTTCACATGGGACTGGACTCTTGCACCGCTCCCACACCGCACCAACACCGCTCCACGCCACTCCACTAGCACCAAGCAGCTCTGAAGCAGGAGACACCCGGGCCCCGCACCCTCCCTCCCAGCGACAAGGTAAGATCCCTACAGGGTTAGGGCATCACTTTTCGTTGCTAGCAGACCGACATCCGTAGCCTCCCAGCCATGCTGCTACGGAGTCATGCTGTGGCTCCTCCCCCCGTTCCTGGCGTTTTAATGCGCTCGGAAACTTATGGAGTTTAAAAGGGGGGAACCTGGTTGTGGCTGGGGATTTTATTTTGTGCTTGGATCCTAGATGGGATGTGTCATCTGGGGGGGAGGAGGGAAGGAGAGAGGAGCCTCAAATCATTGAAGAGGTTATTGTATATATACCAGTTGGTAGATGTGTGGAGGATAAACCATCCTAGAGAAAGAGATTATACCTTCTTCTCCAATGCGCATGGTTCATATTCAAGGATAGACTATATAATGGTGGAGCATAGACAGTTGGAGATAGTGAAAGGATCAAAGATAGAAGTTATTTCATTATCAGATCATGCCCCAGTCACGATGAGGCTTCAAATAGGGAGAGGTGAAGACAAAACATTATGATTGAATGATTTTACAGGACCCTGAAGTCGAGAAGAGGATAAAAAGGGAAATTGAACAATTTTTTTTAGATAAATGAGACTGAGGGAATGTCCGAGGCAATTGTGTGGGAGTCACATAAAGCTTATATTAGAGGAATATTGATCTCTATAAGTATAGAGAAGAAGAAAGGAAAGAGGGAAAAAAATAAAACAGGCTATAGAAGAACTACAAAACTGGAACAAATTCATAAAAAGGAAAAGGGGATGGATAAATATCAGAAGATAATACAAAAAAGAGATGAGTTGAAAGAACTGATGGAACAGGATTCAAGGAAGATAATTAGTAGAATGGGAAAAGAAAGATACCAATGGGGGAATAAACCTGGAAAATATTTAATGAGAAGACTCAGGAATAAACAAGTGAGGAATTTTATTGAAAAAATTAGTGAAAGGAAGGGAGAGAATTTGTATAAAACATCTGATATAGCTAGGAGGTTTCATAATTATTACAGTGAACTATATAACGTAAGAAAGGGCAAGTATTGGGGAAGCGAGGAGGAGAGAAAAAGAAGACAGGACAACCTAAGTGAGGCAGACCTTACAGGAGTAAAAAGGGAAAAACTAAAAAGTCTTAAAAGCCCAATCACCTCAAAGTAAATTAATGATGCTTTAAATAGTACAAAAGTATGTAAAAGTCCTGGGCAGATGGGTATACAGTAAGATATTTGAAAAAAGTCAAAGAAATATTGGTTCCCAAATTATGTAAATACATGAATGCGATAGGAGAGGGATCAGAAATGAGGGAAGAATCCTCAAGGCATACATCACCCTCATTTTGAAGGAGGGGAAGGATAGCTCCCAGTGTTCAAGTTATAGACCGATTTCACTGTTAAATGTAGATACTAAACTGTACGCAAAAGTACTGGCAACAAGGTTGAAGGACCTGATGTCCAAATGGGTGCACTTAGATCAAGTGGGTTTTATACCTGGGAGAGAGGGGAGGGACAATGGTCTGAGATCTTTGATGTTGGTTCAAAAAGCTAAAAAAAGAAAAAACATCTGTGATCCTATTGTCGATCGATGCAGAAAAGGCATTTGAAAGGGTTAATTGGGGGTTTATGTTTGATATATTGGAAAAACTGTGAATGGGACCTAGAATGTTGACTTGGATAAAAGGATTATATAAGTAAAGGTAAATGGAACCTTACCTCAGTTTTTTTTAAGATGAATAATGGAACTAGGCAGGGATGCCCCCTATCCCCCATGCTGTTTGTGTTGTCCACTGTTGGAGAGGGTAAGGAGAAGAAGGTATATAAGAGGGATAAAAATAAGAGACAGGGAACACAAAGTTGCTGCGTATGCAGACAATATGTTGTTCTATGTGGCCAGCCCTAGGATAACATTGCCTAACTTAATGAAAGAACTAAAACATTATGGAGGAGTATCAAATTTGAAGATAAATCCGGTCAAATCGGAAATCCTATACATCAATCTCACAGACATAGAAGAGAAAAGGTTACAAAAAAGTGTTCCCTTTTTCCTGGAGGAAAAACGAAATTGGATACCTTGGAATAAAATTAATGACATTGGTAAAAAGCTTATACCAAGTGAACTATATTCCCCTGATAAACGAAATAAAAGACGAGCTGAAAAGACTAGCATGAGGGGGGGCCTCGTGGATTGGAAGAATTAACTTAGTTAAGATGGTGATACTCCCAAAATTTCAGCTGATTCCAATATATTTACCTGGAGCTTTCTTTGTAATAATTAGAAAGATGATCACTAAGTTTATTTGGGCAAATAGGAGGCCTAGGATTTGTTACAAAGTGTTATGCAGAGCAAAAGCAAATGGAGGACTGGGGTTACCAAATATTAAAAATTATTACACAGCTGTAATTTTGTCACGGGTGATAGATTGGTTTTTTAATTCACAAAGGAAAAGTTGGGTAAAAATAGAAGGGGAATTAAGTAAATCAAATTTAGATACAATGATTTGGATACCTTACGGGTTTCGCACTTTAGATGTAGAAATGAGTAAATTGACTAGGATAGTACTGGAAACATGGGATAGATTACACAATAAGGAAAAATGGAAATATAATTCGCTATTGATACCTTTAGTTGGAACAGATTTTTTTTGCACCAGGAAATGTTAAAATAATTGGGAGATGGATAAAAGATAAAAAACACACGTTTGAAAGATATAAAAGGGAGAATAAATGAACCCATTTGAAAAATGAATGAATGTTGATGTAAGCCCAAAACATATCACCTCAAGGATATATAGGATCCTTGTGGATTTAGAGGATGTAGAGCTCCCTGGGTACTTGGACAAATGGGAAAAGGAATTAGGAATAAAAATCAACCCCAGCAAAGGAAAGGTATTTTCAACCCAACACAAAAAGCAATAAACATGCATACTGCAGAGATGAATTATAAATGCTTGGCAAGATGGTATATAACACCAAGTAGTGCCTATAAGCAGAAAAGGGATGGTCCTCCATGGTGTTGGAGAGGATGTGGAGAAAAGGGTAATATGGAACACATTTGGTGGAGTTGCCCGGGGTTACAGGCCTATTGGAGGGAAATAGCTCATTATATTCAGGAAATATGTGGGGTAAATATCCAGGGAGATCCACTGAAATGCTTATTCTATTATTTGGAGCCCAACTTGGAAGTAGATAGGAATAAAGTATTGTATCATTTAATCAGTGCAGCAAAGGGTTTGATACCAAAATTCTGGTTAATGGCAGATGTTCCGAAGATGGTGGATTGGATAGATAGAGTGGAAAGTACTTTCAGAATGGAAGAACTGAGATGCTTAGAAGAGGATAAGTCGGGAATGTTTAAAAGAATATGGAGTATTTGGAGGAAATTTAAAAACACCAAAGCTTATACACAACTAACTAAAGCTAAGGAGGTAGCCTAAGAAGTTATAGTGATATTATACAGAATAACATATGGAGAAATGGACACAGATAGAGATAAGATTGTGATGATGTAGGGGGGGAAGGGGGTGGGAGGGGGGAGGGAGGTTGTGGGTTAAAGAATGTATTTATATTATGGAAAAATTAGAAAATTATATTTTGGAAGAGGGAAGATGTTTTAATGTTGTTTGTATAATTACAAAATAAAAATTAACCAGTTGCCGACCGCAGATAGCCGAATGACGGCTAAACTGCGGCCGGCCAGTTCTGAGTGGATGTCATATGACGTCCCCCCAGAACGCGCTCTCCTGCGCGCCCCAGGGGGCGCGCAGCCGGCGATCTCCGTGATCGCTGTGTCCTACGGACACAGCTGATCACGAGATGTGGTAAAAGGCCGATCATACCGGCCTTTTACCACGTGATCAGCGGTGTCCAATGACACGCTGATCACAGGGAAATGCAAGTGCCGGTTCTCGGCTGCACTTTCCTCACGCTGTCAGATCGTGAGGAAAGTACTGCCGAGAACCGGCAATTGTCAGATCGAGGATCGGCACCGATCATCAGGGCCACTGATGATCAGTGCCCTGATGATCGGTGCCCAGCAGTGCCACCCACAAGTTCCGCCCACCTTGCCCAGCAGTGCGCCCACTAGCTCCGCCCACCTGTGCCCAGCAGTGCACCCACCTGTGCCCAGCAGTGCACCCACCTGTGCCACTCTGCAGTGTCACACACCTGTGCCCAGAAGTGCCACCCTACCTGTGCCCACCGACCTGTGCCACCCACCAGTGCCACCCGACCTGTGCCCACCAGTGCCACCCACCTGTGCCCACCCACCAGTGCTGCCCACCAGTGCCACCCACCAGTGCAGCCCAGCAGTGCTGCCAGTCAGTGCCACCAGTCAGTGCCCAGCGGTTGTGCCAGTCAGTGCCGCCAGTCAGTGCCCAGCAGTGATGCCAGTCAGTGCCATCTATCAGTACCCATCATCAGTGTCACCTATCAGTGCTGCCTATCAGTGCTGCATATTAGTGCCGCCTATCCGTGCCACCTCATTAGTGCTGCCTATCAGTGCCGCCTATCCGTGCCACCTCATTAGTACTGCCTATCAGTGCCCTTTAGTGCTGCTATCTATCAGTGCCGCCTATCAGTGTCCATCAGTGCTGCCTCATCAACGCACATCAGTGAAGGAGAAAAAAATACCTGTTTGAAAATTTTATAATAGAAACAAAGAAACTTTTTTTTTTTCAAATTTTTTGCACTTTTTTAATTTATAGCACAAAAAGTAAAGCGCCCAGTGGCGATTAAATACCACCAAAAGAAAGCTCTATTTGTGAGAAAAAAATATCAAAATTTCATATGGGTACAATGTTGCATGACCGCGCAATTGTCAATCAAAGTGCGGCAGCGCTGAAAGCTGAAAATTGGCCTGGTAAGGAAGGGGGTATAAGTGCCTGGTAGGCAAGTGGTTAAAAAACAAAATAGTTAAATCTCAGGAGGTATGCCATCTTTTATTTACAATTTACATTTCTATTGAGAGCCAATAGTATAGCTTTTGCTATACTTCCAGTGCTCTGACAGGATACATGCTGCTCTCTTACACAGCAGTGGTCCTGTCATTTGCCTTCCTCTCCACTTGTCCAATCACAGAAAATATTTTATTCTGATAATCATTCACAAAACACAAAATTGTTCTGTGGATGGACAGGAGAGACAGACTGGGCAGCTTGTGGGCAGGACTTGCTGACAGGCAGAGTGGTGGCACAAGCAGTACTTGGAAGAGCTGAGCAGGTCCTATGAAGTAGTACTGAAGACCAGAAACTAGCAGAGCAAACAGCAGTGTACCTAATCTCTAACTTCTTGAACAGGAACATTTCTTTCAGGGACCATCGCGACGCATGGGTCTACACATGCATAGGCGTCTGTCAAGACGTACAGGTAGCAGGGCACTAGGACCTAGGCGCACCCGTCGTCTTGACAGTACTAGGCAGGCACTGGGACCTAGGCGGTGACTGTCAGGTGCAGGGCGGGCTACTTAAGCCAGCCCTGCACAGATGCTTCTTGCCGAATGGTCTTTTGTATCCTGTTGCCTGTGTAGTGAGTACTATGATCTGGATTGTCTGACCTTGTTGCCTTCTCCTGTTCTGACCCCTTGGCTTGCCTGACTCTGCTCCTGGATGTTCCCTTATAGATCTGATCTTTTGGTATTGACCCTGCGTGTGACCCGACTATCCTTTGCCTATCGTCTTGTACCTCACCGACCCACTAGTTACCGACCCGGCTTGTTTGACTCTGACTTTGCTCATCCGTCCATCCATCCCTCAGGGATCCCTGGGCTCCCTCACATCAGACTCTTAACCCGCTGGAGCCCTTGGCAGACTCCTCTACCTCTGGTAGAGATACCTAGCAGCTGCGACCTGGTCCCGGAGCACTCCAAGTCCATCTCCACCATCAGGGGCCCTGGTGAACAAGTGCTCCGGTACTTAGACTCCGCACTCTGGGGAGGCTCTATCAGGGGACTGATAGAGGTACTGTCAGGTGGTCCGTTACAGTACCATTCGGCCATGACTGAGTCTGGAGGGGGGCCTTCTCCCATAGAAGAGATTTGCCGACATTTGTCCGCCCTAACCCAGGTAGTAACTGCCCTCCAGGACAAATGCTCCCGGTTAGAAAATCGGTTTGACACCATGACCATGTCCGAGGCTCCTCCTCAGAGCCAGGCCTCAACTGTTAGCCCTGAGGTAGCCTCTGGATCTCCCATAGGGGCTGCGGCTGCAGCTTCACCAGCCAAACCTCATGTTCCCATGCCTGAATGTTTTCGGGGAGATCGTGCACGGTTTAGGTCCTTCAAAAACGCATGTCTGCTGTATTTTGACCTGCAACTTCGTACCTTCACCACTGAGTCGGTTAAAAAGTAGGATTCGTGATTTCCCTACTACAAGATGAACCCCAGGACTGGGCCCATAGATTAAGGGAAACGCAGGACCCCCAGTTACAGACCATAAACACATTTTTTGAGGCCATCTCTGTCCTCTATGATGACCCCCAGCGGGTGGCTTCAGCTGAATCCACCCTCTACTCCCTCCAACAGGGTCGTCGAGCTGCGGAGGAATATGCCTCCGAGTTCAGGCGATGGATGGGGGTCACGCGTTGGAACGACGCTGCCCTGCGTCACCAATTCCGGGTCGGACTCTCGGAGGCGCTAAAGGATGAGTTAGCTCAGGTTGGCCTCCCAGAGTCCTTGGAAGATCTGATCTCCCTGGCGATCCAAAATCGATCGCAGGTTGCGGGAACGCCGGTCTGAGAGGTCAGGCCAGGGTCAAGGAGTCACATGGGCACCTCCCAGGGGCACCGGTCATCTCGCCCCTACCGATGTTCCATCAGCCGTTCCTGTGGATACTTCAGAGCTGCAACTGGGATTGGCTCGGCAGGCCCTCACCCCAGAGGAGCGCCAGAGAAGACGCACCAGAAAGCTCTGTTTCTACTGTGGAAGAACTGGACATGTCATGCGGAACCGGTGAAGGCACGTAAGTCAAGAACTACAGTTCCCTTTTGTTCCCTGGGTAATATGAGTCAATCCAGATACTTAGCAGTACCCCTCTTTTTTCAGTTTCCGGAAAGAACCGTGGAGACCACTGCAATCATTGACTCGGGGGCCTGCAGTTGCTTTTTGGACATTGATTTTGCCCATCAGCAGGAAATACCTTTACAGGCCAGGAAATGGGGACTTAATTTGTTCCTGGCTGATGGTTCCCATATTAAATCGGGTTTGGTTGACCAAGAAACTTCCCCTATACTCACCACCATAATGGGCCTTCACTGGGAGTTATTACGTTTTGACGCTATCGCGTCATCCCTTTTCCCAGTGATCTTGGGGCTTCCGTGGCTACAAGCCCACAACCCTCAGATCAACTGGGAAACCGGGTCCCTCAGTTTTCCCTCGGCCTATTGTCAGGAAAACTGTCATGCCTCCGGGCCCCCCAAATCCTCCTATGTGCAGAGGAGGATTCGAGCTTAAGACAGGTTGTTCCAGTGGTATACCATGATTACCTGGATGTATTTAGCAAACGTGGGGCCGACACTTTGCCCCCTCATCGACCATATTACTGTCCCATTGACTTACTGCCTGGATCCGAGATCCCTTTTGGTCGCATATTCCCGTTATCTGAGGTGGAGTTGGGGGTACTGAAAGAGTATATTGAAGAGAATCTCCTTCCACTTCACCGGCAGGGGCGGATATTTTCTTCGTGGAGAAGAAAGATAAGACTTTAAGGCCTTGTGTTGATTATCGGGAACTGAATCGGGTTACAATTAAAAACCGCTACCCTCTACCACTGGTCCCTGAACTTTTTCAAAACCTAAGGACAGCGGTTTGCTTCACTAAGTTGGATCTCCGCGGGGCTTACAAGTTGGTACGCATCCGAGAGGGGGACAAGTGGAAGACAGCCTTCCATATTCGGTTTGGCCACTTTGAGTATTTGGTCATGCCTTTTGGGCTCTGCAATGCTCCGGCCACCTTCCAGCATTTTGTGAACGATGTCTTTAGGGACTTTCTGGACATTTTTGTCATTGTTTACCTGGATGACATTTTGATATTTTCACCATCCCTAGACACCCATAGAGTCCATGTGATTAAGGTTCTGGAGCGGTTGCGCCTACACGGCCTATATGCCAAGGCCGATAAATGTAGCTTTGAGCAACAGAGCATTTCCTTTCTGGGGTTGATCATCTCCACTGCGGGGATCGCAATGGATCCCCAAAAGGTCTCGGCAATCCTTGAATGGCCGATCCCAACCGATAAAAAAGGCGTCCAACGGTTTATTGGGTTCGCCAACTTCTACAGGAAGTTTATTAGGAATTTTTCAGGTCTGGTCTCCCCTATCACACAGTTGACTAAGTCAGGGACCCGCTTCAAATGGACATCAGAAGCTCAGGAAGCATTCGAGACCCTGAAATGACTGTTTACCACCGCCCCCATTCTGGGTCACCCGGACACTGCATTACCTTATATGCTAGAGGTGGATGCATCCGAGAACGCAGTGGGATCAATTTTATCCCGGAGGGAAGGACCAAAAGAATTGTTGCACCCAGTGGCATTCTCTCTCCAGGAAACGTACTCCGACAGAACGCAACTATGACATCGGGGATCGAGAACTATTGGCCATCAAAACTGCCCTGGAGGAGTGGAGATACCTGCTGGAAGGAGCGGCTCACCAAATTTTGATTTTTACTGACCATAAGAACCTCGAATACCTGAGAACAGCTAAACGCTTAAGGACACGCCAAGCTAGGTGGGCTCTTTTCTTCTCACGTTTTTCCTTCCACATCACCTACAGGCCGGGTTCAAAGAACACAAAGCCAGATGCCCTTTCGCGCATGTTTGAGGATCCCAAGGAAGAACTCAGGCTGGATACCATTCTGTCATCTGGAAACTTTTTGGCCCTCCAAACGGAGCTGCGTGCTAAGCTGCAAGACGCATCTGGGACTTGCCCCCCTCTACCAGGAATACCACTCTCCCTCGAAGGAGGATTGTTACGAAAAGAGGGATTGATTGTGGTACCGGAAGCTGTGCAGACGCAGGTGTTAGGGCACTGTCACGATCACCCAATGGCTGGACACTTTGGAGTGGCAAAAAAGCTGGAGCTGCTTAAACGCACCTTCTGGTGGCCTCACATGAACAAGGATTGCAAACGCTACGTAAAGTCTTGTGCGATTTGCCAGAGGAATAAGCCAACCAGAAATAAGGCTTGGGGGCTGCTACGCCCACTACCCATTCCTGCTCGATGCTGGCAGATGATGGCAATGGATTTTATAGTGGAACTACCCCCGTCCCAGGGCCATACGGCAATCTTCGTTATTGTGGACCGTCTGTCAAAAATGGCCCATTTTGTACCCCTGAAAGGTACCCCATCAG